CTCCTGGCATTGCTACGAGGAGCAAGGACGCTACTAGTAGCTCCTGGCATCGCTACTAAGAGCAAGGACTCTACTAGTAGCGATATATCTGCCGGCCCAGGTTTTGTCCAACCACCTCTCGCCTCGTCCGTCCAACCACACCACTGCTGCCCACCATAGGGATTGGCGCTCGCACGCTGTGGCCATCGAGTTGGAGGAAATCTCATCCAAGCGTCCTCTTCTCAGAGTGCTTACACCCCCTGAAATAATCATGGCAGTGGAAAACCAGCTGTTTCTAGAGGAAAATGGTCATCCAATGTCCAAGGAGCCATTTTCCACTTACCTGATTGTTCCAGGGAGTGTGATGTCTTTCTCAGCTGAGGCAGGTTTTCAAAAAAAGGTAGGACGCCAGCCGGCAAGTGTGCGGCAAGTGCACGTGCTCACTCTGTTTTTCCGGTGTTTTTCGGCCTCCACTCTGCTGCACGTGCTCACAAAGTCCCAGAGCCTGCGGGGTGTGAACCCAGCCACACAGGCTTAGCGAAAACGTCAGTCTGGCAGTCTGGCCCAAAAACTCATTTGGGATGTCACGGGTGGTGAGGTTGCAGGTAGGTCAGCGCGGATTTATTGATGTCCTCAAATTGTACCAAAGAACTTTTACCCTCTACTTCGGCGCCTGGATGCATGATATGCATGCCAAACGGAACTCAAGTCACTTAAGTCAACTGATATCACATCGTGAATTCTTACTGTTTAACCAATTGGGCTAGCGGCTAGACTAGGCTTTGAAATGAAGCATGGCCAGTCAGTCATCATGGCAAACTGCCGATCACTTCTGACAAACATCAAAGTGGAGAAAGCCTTCTTCGGAGAGGCAAGACGTCACAGGGGTCTTCCCGGCAGCCGTCTTCCCCCCAAAGCCAGATCCTGAACATCCTTCAGAATGCACCCCGATTCACTCCACCCATCCGGCTTCTCCACCTGCACCCAGCTGCTCGTCTGGAAGGAGCTCAATGCTGCACCCACCTGGACTTTAGTGCACTAACTCAGCACGACTTGTGACTCCATGGTGGGCCAGGCTGGGTCACCTGGTGCCGTGTTTGAGCCCAGAGCCGCCCTAAGAATGTAGCTGGGTTGGTGGGATCGATCATTGGAAGTAAAGCGTTGAGAAATTGTCGAAACCACCACCCAGATAGAGAGGGTTTATTTACCATCGGTTCTTCACTTAGAGGATGTTCCCCTCTACAAAAGACCACTTTCAAGGCCAGCTATACTACACCCGGGAAGGCCATTTTCCTGTATCAACCCAGCGATATATGTATATATATATAACTATTATATAGGTTCCATGTGAACCTTCCAGGGCGCATTCTCCGCTCCCGCCTGAATCGGATTCCAGACCCGGAGGCCCCACGTCGCTGAGCGCCATCGACCCTGCTTGGCTTCCACCGTGCTGATGGAGCTCTGGGTCACTGGATCGGGCCGAAGCTGTCGCACAAGCATTTCCTGGCGGAAGCTGGAAGCTGGCGAAGGACGTCGAGTTGACTGGGGCGAAGGACGCCGATTCTGATCAGTGATTGATGAGGGATAATGAGGGGTGGGTTCATACCTTCATGAATCTTCATGATACACTTTGAACTACTTTGACGTGACTATTGACTATATTACCACTACCAGTACCACTACCGTAGCATGCGGACTCTCATTGCAGCCTGTCCTTCAGCAAGCCTCTTGCATGCTTCCAGCTTTGACGTCCCGCTAGGATGGCCGAATTGTAGATCACCGTGTTCCCTTTCCTCAAGAGCACTGAGAACATCGAACTGACCGATACTTTCACCGCTACTACAACCGCCTTACCGGCGCCGGTCACCAGCATCAGGAGGCTCCGCTTCAGCACGATCAAGCTGTCCAGCACTCTTTGGGGAGGACAGCTTCATGGGCCAAGTGTCAGCTCGTAGATGGTGAGAAGAGTGAGAAGCTCATAAGCCATGTCCTTAGTCATTGGTACTGGGGCGAAGGACCGAAGCACGGCGACGCGGTCGCATGGCGTCGCATGGCGTCGCCATGCAGGCTGCGCCGCTGGTAGTACCACAAGATGTGTCGCTAGCAGCCCATCCAGGTCCGTCCGACACGACACATCTGAAAAATCTCGCTTTTGAGCATTCCCAAGCGTCCCAGTTGAACTTCCCAGCACCCAGGGCCGCACCCAAGGAGATAACCGTTGGGCTCACATGAGCGTCCATCTGCTGGCGCATCAGCAGCAAGGTCTGTCCCCAAGGCCCTTTCTCGCATGCACCTTACTTGGTCAAAGCACCCACACATCTCCTTCAACCCCCAACTGCCCTGAACATAACATGTCAATCATTTGCAGCCTCTGCTTTTCTCTCCTTCTCAGGCACGCAAAGCAGCGCCATAGCTCATGACATTCGGCTCCACACACTTGTGCCCCACGCTGTCAAACCATGCCCTCGCCCACCTCCAAGGACCTCCACCCGCGCAGGTCGCCGTCAGGGTCGCCGACGTCCAGGTTGCGTCCACCGCTCGTGCGTCCACATCCGAAGGTGGGAACAGCAAGGCGCTCGGCCAATGAAGGGAGGATTGACAGGCCTTCACCTGGCAGGGTTGAACGCCAACTGGCCAAGAGGGTGTGGTTGAGGGAAGGGAGGGGTCCAAGTACCGACCTTGGATCAAAGGACTCACCATGATGGTCGGTCATATGTCCCATGCCCCAAATGGTTGCAGCTGGTGAACAGGCCAGCTGAGTAGTGCGGCCTCTGGGGCCTCCCGGTCAGGAGTGCACAACCCAGGAGGCCGAAGGATTTCTGGCCGTTACCCAACTGAAATTAAGAAAAAATCATGGAACATCCTGGGAACTCCCAAAACCACTGGAATCCAATTGACGAGGAACATGCTCGAAACCACGGACCGTTTTCCTTCGTTCACGGATCTAGTCTTGGTCGACGTGGGCGTCGAAACCGCGGGTGTTCCGTCATCTTCGGGGCAAGTCTTTGGTCAAATTCTGCAAACACTCTCTTGTGCCGGATCTGCTTTCGTGGATCAGCAAAGGCACCAGCGAAGTGTAGTGGAACTTGTTCAGTTGAAGGTTGGAAATCGCCATGGTCTCCATCAGCATATGGACTACTTTCCATCGCTGGCTGCTTGCAGAGTCCATGGCGAGCTGGTATGTCTTGCCATCGCACCTGGTGCAACGAACACTTGAAGTTGAATCTCTGTGGGCCTGTGGGTCAAAGCCATCCTAATTCTCGCACTGCATCATTACACCTGAAACAATATGGCGTTAGATCCCAGCCGATGCTTGCCCCAGTCTGTGCTACTCTGGTGCTAGCGCCCTTAGTCTCAGAAAGCCTATTGCCAAAAAGAGCTCCAAAACTGCCAGTTGAAAAAGAATACAAAAATAAAGGTAACACCTTCAATAGCGAAAGAGATGCACAGGAAAGGCAATCTACAAAATCAACACGTTGATTCAACGGTAACAACAAGATCAAAAAAGAAACCTGAAAAGGAACACATCAAAACAACAACAAAAACAACTACAAGAACACTTCTATGGTGAAACTGCTGGAAACAACTCGCAAACGGTACATCCTGTTGCGGCTAGGTCTGCCAGGTGCTGCACCAACACATCCTAATCTACGAGAACCAACCACGTTCCGCACAAAGAACCAGGAAACGAACTACCAAAGCTCTGGCCGGTCGGCCGCGCACGTCCCAGACCACCGGACCGGTGTACCACCTGAGCCGTGTGTGGTGGAAGAGCTCCAAGTTCCACAAGAGCCATCGCCAGGTCGCTCCTGACGAAACTCTTATTGACACTTATATGTTGCTTTCCAAAAATGTAACAAGTGCACAAGTGTGTACATATAAAATATATAGATCATTAATTATCCTTATAGATCTTGATGAGTGATGGACAGCCCAAACCACATCTCTTGCCCAATCCTTTGTATATCTTGCTGGCCGCGAAGCCGCCGCGAGGCCGTTGCATTCAACAGCCGTGCGAACGGGACGAGCTTCCCAGAGCTTCCCCATCCCCAGGCCAGCTCGGCCCACTCCTGTGCCGATGCACTGCGCTGCTGCAGGGGTCTGCCAGTCGAGGGCTCGTGACATGCCTCTGCGAGCGCTGGGAGTTGGATCCACCAGGAACGAGGCGGACATGATGCGCTAGGTGGCACATAAGAGCATAATCTACTACTCAAGACTTATATAAGTTATATATCATTGAATTACAGTAAGTTCAATGTTGTCGTGTGTTTGTCGTTGGTGGTGTGAGCTGTCGGACATTCACAAACGTTCATCTTCCGGCAGGACCACACGGGCCAATATTGACATTAAGGGTCAAAGGCGGGACATATCATATATCCCAAAACTACATCATCAACGGTATAGCATACACAAATACAAACATGCGGCATGTCTACATTTTGATGATCTTGATGTTCCATAGGGTACCACTGGGCCACTGGGGAGGGTACCATGTGGTGAAGACATGTGAAGACCGTAGATTTCGGGACGTCAAACTCTTGTAGGGTACGTTGATGGATCGGTTGACAACATGAGGACCAAGCAGAGGCCAGAGCAGTTGACCATCCAAAACACCCTGAAAAACCGAAAGCCGCAGGCCTCAGGTCTGTCTCTCTCTCTCTCTCTCTCTGACCAGTCTTCTTCTGTGAGCATCAGCGACCTTCACTGGCCACCAGCCCTGGTGGGCTCACGACCTGAATCCCGAACAGTTCCCCTGGAAGATCAAAGATCGGGTCCCCAAATAGATAGTGGCACGGTTTCCAATACATTCTTAGCGGGATCCACTTTTCCATGTCTTGGGGGGTCTTTCTTGACCGAACGCACTCCACCTCTTCGTTTCCTGTGGGGCGTCTCCCAATTTTGGTGTCGGTCCAGGGTGTCTGGAGTGGGATCCATTTACACCCAACGATTGAACAAAATGGGCCGACTTCCCTTCTTTTGGCAGACGTGATGCTCAAAAAAGGGGGCGTTTCCCCTCCTAGCACAGCCAAAGAAGCATTGGGTGTATGCAGGCTGCTGAACGTCTGCTTATGTAGCCAGACTGCTCTCAATCCGTCCCAATCACTCTGAATCCAAAAGAGCGGATGTCCTCTTGGAAAGAGGTCATTTGGTGGCCACGTCCATTCCCTGAGGTGATTTACAGTGTTTGATTTGATGATCTGCAGCCCAAGCACGTCCGCAGTAATGGTCGATGAGCTGGCGCCATCAGCAGGTCAACTGTGACTTGAGATCCCAAACTGCCTCTTGGCAGTGCCATCTTGTCTTGGCAAAACTGGAGTGTGGAAATGTATGAAGTGCATGGGTGGCACATGAAAGAATGACAAATGTCACAATGTCCTCATCAAGAATCGTCCGTCAGATGTTTCGCGCATGCTCCGTTTGACCCGCAGGCTGCGAATCGGACTCTTGTGGCACCCTCACAACAAGATCCTTCCTGAAGATTGATCGGCTCTTGAAGTGGGGAACTGATCGGCTCTAGTTGTACACGTGCATAACCTACACAAGCACCCCTGTGGTCCTTCGACATGACATGTTTGGCTGTCATACTTCCACGCATCACGCGTTGTTGAAGACTCCAACAGAACCCGAGAAAGCTCGTCAGGTGCCTTGTTTACTTTCTCGTTGGGCGAAACCCCTCTGCTTACTTGCCACGACCCCCATCCGGACACCGAGCAATGGTTTGGCACGTTCCGACTGCTGTCGGTCCTAACCCTGGGCCGCCTCCTTGGCGCCTAAAAGCCCTGCGACAGCCACACAGTCCTCGGGTGGCTACTGCTCGCGGATGGGCGGGCCGGACGGAGCATCTGACATGGAGAGACCTAACTTGTACAAATCCCCGAGCCTAAGAGCGAAGAGATGCGAAGAGACGTTCTTGAAGCCTTTTTGGACTCAAATCTGGCTTGCGGGGATCAGGAGGGGTGGTTGTTCCACCGGGCGACACTGGTCACACCCAGGGGTGGAATGGGGCTTCCCTCAGTTTAAGACATCTTAAGACAACTCATGCTGTTTGCCCCCTAGATGTTCATTTCTTTTCCCTCTCAAATTCCGGTTCTCCACGGATCAATTTTCAGGGTCCATGTTAGTTTGCAGGCTGGCACGCCCTGGAAGATAAGACCTGAGAACCAGTAGGTTGTAGAGGAAGAATAGCCTTCCAAAGGTGTCCAATTTCAGGTTCCATGTGGGTCTCTTCCCGGATGTCAATCATATACGATCCGGCACCCCTCAACAGGATCTGGGACCCTCTGCTCGAACTCGCGAACTCCCGGAAAGGGCGGATCCTATGCCCAGGTCCATCTCCCTGAACTGGTGAGTGACCGAACAAAATCCGAAGCCCGAAGGACTGGTGGTTTTGACTCCGCTTCCGTTGGTCTTCGTGTGCCATGGAGGTGATACCTCCAGCCGAGGCCAAGGCAGCTTGCCCACAGGAGCCAAGACCGCATCCAGCCAAGGACAGGCCTGAAGGCGAAGGAACGGACCGGCTGGGGGAAGCAACGAAGACCGACGGACCGTCATAGACCTTTGGGGATCGGACCTGAAAGATCGACCCTTTTTTTCACCAAGAAAACACTCTGCTTCAGCACGGCTGAAGAGTTTGCGTTCCTGCCGAGGTGGTGCGTTCCTACTGCTTCTCAACAGTGGTTTCAACTGACTAGGCCGGCCCAAGCGCTGACTCACCTGAATCCTCACAATAAAAGAAACGAGCCTAGATTCAAGCTGGATATATACACCATCCTTTACAGTAAATGGATATCTGATATCTGTTTAAAAAGGACCAATAACAAAAATACCAAATCTACGCAAGGGATCGCCCGAACACCCTCCATACCATTCTGCAGCTGATGGGTGCCCGGCTGGTCAAGCCCAGGCACGACTCGGACAGCGCCTTCGCCAAGCCTCCGCGGCGTTTGACCCGTCCCTCCCAACGTTAGGGGTCTGCTCGGAGTGTATGAGCGTATGGGTAAGCTATGCATGGTAAGCTACATTTCCCTTGTGCCGCGGCTGAGGAGGTCACTGATCGCCACCCTCCCATTCAGCGGAGCGAAGGAGATGTCCAAAGCAGTGAGGGAGGTCCTGAGGCCCCGCCGGGCTGGACAAATGCGGGCCCAAGGTCTGAGACTGGTTCCTTTTGCAGACCAGTACATTGAGGAGATGGGGGGAAGGTAGAGGGTCCATGAAGGTCAACGCCACCAGAATTCGACATCCTCGTGTCTATTCTCACCGCCGCCTTTTGTCGGTGGATACCCCCTCGGATCCATCACCTCTTCGGATGTGTGATCCCGCTTGGGATGTTTGACCCACTTTGCACCTTTGGGGCCACAGTGGTGTCTCATAAGAATATGAAGGAAGAACAAGGTGCAAAAATCTTATGGGAGGAGTGTGCCATCAACAAGTACCTGGCAAAAATGGTCCACGCCCACCTATCGAACCATATGGCAAGCTAACAAGGGAGACATGTTCCCAATCTTTCTCTATCGTGTCTCAACCTCCGAGAATTCTTTGAACTCACACCCAAGTGTGACAACCTCCAACGATCCGCCGTCCCCATCTCCGCGTCGCGTCGCAAAACTGGGCGCCGGACATGGCCAAGGACTTGGGCAAAGAATCTAACAGAAGCCGATCTCGAAAGTGGAGCTGCGAATTCCCAGCCTCATCGCCCCATGGCGTTCTGAACGGGGCGTTCTTCAGGATGGCGGTGTTGGAACTCGTTTGGGGGAAGCAAACCTGGAGCCAGGGGGCGCTACGGAAAGGACGGTGCATCTGCTGCTTCATGCCAAATCATACAGTCGGTGACGCTTGTTAAGCCAACCAGAAGGTAGAAGAAGGTTCACTGCCAGTGACCAGTGACCTAATCCAATCACTGAATTGCGTTCCGTGTTTCCACACCCTTGTCCACTCATGATGACTCATGCAGCCCATTGTTGCACTGGTCTCACCCTGTAGGAAAGACGACTTAGGGTCCTAGCAGTGCTGGTGCCCAAAGGCTTGGACGTTCCAAATAGGATCAAGTAGGAAAATGAAGGTCAAAAGATTCAAAAGTATAGCACCTTTGCACCTTTGCCTGATTTTAGCTGGCAACCTTGACTTGAGTTTCAAGGGCAGTTCTTAAGTCTTAGACCAAACAAGTGGATGACACCCCTTCCCTCCAATAACATACCTCTTTGGATAAGCAGAAGTACCTCTGCCGGGGTGCAATGTTGAGCGAGGCCAACTGCATGCCACTGGGCAATCCCTCCTGGCTTGCTGAATCTCAAGCAGGAACCATCCTTCACCCAGAAGGTGGTGCTGAACTATGACTACCCAGTCAGGCAAACTTGCAACACATCCCGGTGCGGAGCCAACGCTGCACCGCTTCCAAGGCCTGTTCTTATGCCCTGCCTTGGCCATTGCTGTCTGCAAGTTTAGCTGCGAATACACTGTACACCATATCAAACCCAACTAGTCGTTGCGGCCGTGTGATTGGTCTTGAAGTTGCCCCTTTTTGGTGAACATTGATGGCATTGAGCGGTGTGAGATATACTATGAATATACTGACAAATGTCCACCGCAGGACTTGTCAGCCGTCAGCCCTGGCAATTTCAGACCCACTGTATGTAGTGCTTGCAACTCTCGGACACTGCAAACAAGTGGTGACAAGCCTCACCCACCTCACATATCCTCACATCATACCACCATGTTCTTGATGGCACAGTTCCCCCAAAAAAATACCGTGGCATCGCTACGATCGCTATGGCTCGTCACCGGTCCCTCTGCCTCACGCTCGGCTTCACCTCGCTGTGCGACCGAACTCGCTCGGGACGAGCGGTCAAAACGGAAGTTCTGGGAGACTGGAAAACACCTCGCCTCCTCCCAGGTGATTACGACAAGTGAAATCCGGTCGGGCCACTTCCTTGTCTCATGCGAGGGGTCAGCTAGTTCACGAATGGGAAGCTTGCCTCTTGCGACTTGCACATATCCAGACTCACAAAATGTGGTCATTGGCACCCGAACATGCCATCCATCCCATCCAAATCCACATGGTGCCTGAGAAAAAGACATTGGGGCCCACTGAGGCGCCGCACGCTCCTGTCGCAGGAGGGCCAGGACTTCATAAAGCCCCGCATCCGACAATTTGTTTCCACCTGCAGCATCAGGTCACCAATCCCTTTAAAAAGCTGAAGGATGGGCTTTTTTCGAGCGCCGCTCGGCAGCGCGTGCACAGCTGTAGAGATCAAGGTAAAGACCTGGGCTCAAAAAGGCCCTAAAACCTCGGGAAAGCTGCAAGGTCTTGGCCTTTCTCCCTGAGACTGGTCTTGTGCATGTGCTGGAGGAATGAGTTCCTAACCGGCGTGAAACATTGAAGATGATAGCCCATGTATTCAGCCAAGAGGGAACCTATAAGAACACTACACCGATGGATATCCACCTGTCCCCGTTGAGTCGGAGCTTCTTCAAATCGACCTGTGGAGAATCGACCTGAGGGAATTGTCACGATGTAGGTGGAACGCGACATGGGAAGGGCTCCCAGTTAACTTATAACTTTCTTGGCAACACCTAGTAAGTTATACAGTAGGAATTGACACAGCCATGCCAAGTGAAATTGAAAGAATTCAATGCTTTCCCAAGATACGAGCTAGCGCAAGTGCTACAAACCACAACAGGACCTGACAGTGGACTGTGCCAGCTGGGGGCCGCAACTCAAGTTGAGTTCACGCAAAGGATGACCCTGGCCTGCACCTCACGATCAGGACCAAAACAGCTCGGGGATCAGGACGGAGGTTTTTCGAGAAATCGGGCGTACCCAAACAAACAAACCAGCGACGGAAGGGCTCGCGGAAGGGCTGGTGGATTCAACTGATCAATGGCAAGTGGCAAGGCACTTTGAAGAATCCTTATCACTACGATCTGAACAAGCTATAGTGCTAGTTACTAGTTTGGAACTCCAGTATCCAAATGTATCCCAACAATTCTTGGATCCTCAGAAGTTGGTCGGTCGGCTGCGAGCGTCCCTATGTCCGAAACAACCGCCTGGTCGGGTTTCGCTGGCACCTACGTCGTGACTTTCAATGGAAACGTTCGAAGAGCAGACGAAGAGCAAAAGAAGTATACTACATGAATGGAGAGTAGATGATAGTACAATCCCCAAGCTTGGTGGTCTATATGGACCTGCCACCTATCGAAGGTTTTCCAATTGTGGGGCACCCCCATGGGAGACACCCTCGAGGTGCTGAAGGGCAAGAAAATCTAAGAAAATCAGTGGCAAAACTTCCATCTCCTCCTTGCTCCTCTTACCGCTCACTGCTTCAGCTTCACCACAAAAGAACACCACCTCACCATGAGGCGGTGGTCTTGACCGCCGACTCCAGGCCCAACCCAGCGAGGCTCTGAGGCGCCACGCAAATCATAGCGGTTCGGACCTGACCGCGCCGGATCGTCGGACACTCCAGCGCATTGAAATACGACCGGAGTCATGTCACATCGTCGGTGTTTTTAATACTTTCTTTATCCCACTGGAAGTCCAGTTCGACATAGTTCGACTATATTTTTTTAGAGGAAGTTCCTCTTCGGGCCCCCCAAAGACCATTCTTTGAATAGTCTTGGACTCCCCGGGCTTTAAAACCCAGCACAAAGACTGCAGACTGCGAAGACATGCGAAGACGTCTGACGGCCACGATGTTTGAAGGAACAACGGAGGCGGCAAAAATGGCGGCATACCACGCGAAGCAGCAAATCAATTGGTGTATGGGTGTATTGCAATATTATTGTATTGTGCGAATATGTATACAAATAGTATACTATATATTGGCAGCATTTTGCACATGATGCACGATACATGACGTCTGATACATGCTCCATGGATCTTCATCGATTTCTGCAGCCCCGCTCCAACCAGCGAGGCCAGCGGGCCCGCTCCACCCCATGGCTGCGACCTGGGCCCCGGACTAAGGCTTGTAGATCCCCATCACTCAAGGCCCTGCCAGATGCATCGATGATGCCCCAGCCGTTCCCGAAGTGGAGCCAGGCCTGGCAATGGGCCGGGGGAACTGCGACGGCAAAAAATCTCTGCAGAAACGATGGGAAGGATGGCAGTGAATCAGTGAATGAATCCATCCAGAGCACATATTCTCAGCTCCAGTAATCTAGGTCTTTTGAAAACCCTAGGGGCCCTTTGGGGGAGGGCCCTTAGTCAGTGCAAATGCCCTCCCAAAGGCCTTGCTAAAATATAGGTCAGCTTGAAGTTCATTAAAGTTAAACTCTGACGAACGCATCACAAAAAAAAGTGGGTGGTGCTTGCTGTTCGTAGAGGAAAATAGTCTGCCGAGTGGCCATGCCACCCGCTTCCATGTTAAAGAGTCAGGAATGCAGGATCTATTCTTGAACAAACCCACAACCAATGGGTCTCTACCAAGGACACACACACACAAATGCAGCCATCTTGAATTAACAGAGTTCAACCGTTGATCCGTAGCTAACTATAGTTACAGTAACTATTTTGTATTATTCATATGCATGTGTATGTTTGTATGCATTGGATGTGTCTGCCTGCCTGCCTGCCTGCCTGCCTGCCTGTAGGTAGGTAAGGTAAGGTAGGGTCCAGGTAGGGTAGGGTAGGTAGGTAGATGTATTTGTTGAATCTGGGGACTGTCCAATGCCATGCTTGCTTTTGATGCCATGCCTCCCCAACGGTCTTTTCGGCGCGTTCGGCCGGTTCGAATCAGGCCGACCGCGCCGATTCGGGAGCGCGATTCGGATGACACCGCCCATCCAGGCTTCGGCTCAGTTTAAGAAGTAGTAGAGAGGACAAACAAACTTCTGGATACACTCCGACTCACTAACATGGAAATGGAGTTCACCACCTGTTTTGTAGAGGATTTCATGGTCTTCACTGGGGCCATGCCATCCACCGCATCCACTTCCATGTGATGTGTTCGTCAGAGTGTAGACATTTGGACATGTGGATCATGGATGGTCAAAGCATGTTAAAGTGTTTCTTCTACCTGTGGCATGTTCTTCGTAGATCAGGGATGATCAGGGTGTTTCCATGTTCTGCGCGTAGCGCGCAGCAGCGCGTGCCTAGTGTGCCTACAGAGCTGCCTGCATAGGTTTCGTCCGGCGGGACGCGAGGACCAAGCTGTCAGAAGGATTAGTCGGACAGTCATCATCGACCTCATTCTGGCACCTTCACGACTGAAACGTTGCAATCATGTGTGGATAGTCCAGATTGATCCAAAAAAAGATCCATGAAGTGTTCCGACCGGCGCGACCCACTGCTGGGTTCTGCTTTAAAGGCAATTGGCAATAGGTCACTAGTGTCCAGCTGGCAGCTCCATCGATCCTCGTCCTCACTCAAACGAACGACTACTACGCTGCAGTCAACAGCTTCGTGGGACTGCAGGAAAACATCCATGGGTCAAAAAGCTGCACTTCTTTCATGAAGAATTGTCCCATGCTCCAACCTTCTCGTCTCTTTCAACCCCGCGGCCAAAAAGAAACACACGCCACGGCCGCGACACGCGGGCTGGGGTGGAAAGGAACTCCCGGGCTCGCTCGCTCCGCCGAGAACTGGTCACTATGGGTCGTTCCTTCCTTCCGCCAGCGCGCGAACGAGAGCAATGACGTCACACCGTCGCACCATCGCACGTCTCGGACCAGTTCTGCAGACCAAGCCGTTTCCGCAGCACCGCCCGAGGCGAGTGGCCATGCGGGGGGGGGGGGTTGGGTGGAGATCCCTCTCTCCCTCCATACAATCCATCGGTGTCTGAGAAAAACGACAAGGGCGGAAAACAAGCATGGACCTGGAGTTAAACCAAGATGGAGTGACACCCTACCATCTAACACCATCTTGACGCAATCCGATCCCACCTTGCCGAAATCTTTTGCTTTTCTTTCGTCTGGGGTCCTCAGACGTGTCCTCCACGCAAGTGTTCCCTCCCAATCATCACCGGACAGGTCCCTGGCTGGTGAAGACATCATCAACAAAGGTTCGGGGTCTGCATGTCACCACCCCAGTCAACCAACTACGTATCCGTTTGTGGATGGTACATAATCAGTGGTGTGTTTATATAGTGTTGGGGTGCATGAACTATGGCTCCTCATGGTCCAGGTTGGTTTGGCCTCATGGTCTCGCTTTTGACCCATCAGCCGCCATGGCGAGGTTCGGCCGATTTGTCAGGCACATCTGCTGCCCAGGCGTCACGCATCCAAGTGTCTCAAATGATCATGGTGAGAGCCTGGTCCTGGCGGTGCATGTGAACACATCGGGTCTTGGTCCAGAATCGAGCGCCGGAATCCATGAAGATGAAGCTGGCACTAAACTCTCTTCCAAATGTGTCCATTGTTCGCATGTGAGTTTAGTATGACTTCACTTCCTGAACTCACTTACACCCTGTATACCATTGGGCCTGTTAGGTGGGGCAACCCAAAAAAATCTGCCCGCACCAATGAGTCTGAGTAGCACTTTCTTGCTTTGGCCAAGTCATATCGATTCTCAAAAAGACCAGGGCCGGCCAGTCCGGTTCCGGCCCATCAGCTTCTTAGTCTCCTCGGCCTCGGCCTCCTCAGTGCTCCGTGACTTCTTCTTCTTCTGCTTCTCGAAGTGCTTGCTGATGAGCTGCGGTGGATCCCACCGATGGGTGACCCAAACGACCCCAACGACCCAAACGGTCGGTCGAATTCCGAACGACCGAGGGAAGAGGACATCCAACTCTTATGTCATGCACACCTTGCCACAATCTGGATGAACAAATGCCAAATAGTCTCATCTATATGATAAGGCGTACTGTATGTGTATGTGCATGTGTAAAACATATAAGCAAATAGGTATATATAGGGAAAGAGATAGATATATGTGCGTGTGTGTGTATAATATAATATATGGCTCAGAAAGATTCAACATGTACAAATACTGCCTGGACCGTCTTCACAACTCGACTTCACCAAGTCCGACTTCATGCACCTCCCAAAGGTGCAAGTGGAACTCCAGCTCGTGTTGGAGCTTGTCCCTGAGCAGTTCAGGGATTTATTTGAGAATTAGTGGCAAGGACGCTACTTACTCGGGGCTCCTGGCCTGAGCATCTATGAGCGATGGGATGATACTTACTCGGGGCGCTCCTGGCCTGAGCATCTTGGGAATCCCTTTGTTCCCAATTTAAGCATTGAAACATAAGACGTCATAAAACCATGTAGAAAAGCACCCCACAAATTGGGCCCGAATACACTGCATCGGCTGGCAGCTGCACTTTGAGAGCTTTTGGCTTTTCATGCGCTTCTTTAAAGTGGGAGCTCTGACGTGTGTCGGAGTCGCTTCAAGATTCACCAACGTCTTTCAAGGCGCTCGTATTTGGGGAGGCGGTCAAGGAGACGCTGTGTGAGTGCGGAAAGATTATGACAGCTTCGACCTCCAGGAAACATCGTGAGTGAGATGTTTGAATCTGCTCGGACTGCTCTAACATTGGGGGTGCTGAAAGATGTCAGTGGGTGGGTTTCGTGGCATGGGGACAACGTTCGGAATCCTGGTGCCCAAGATTCCGTGCAGCAACCGTGATTTCATCCACTGAGCTTGGGGTCAAACAAATCTTGGAGTGCTTTTGTGCTTTGAACTTGGAACCACGGCTGTTGGATGACGGTCTGTTGAAAGGTCCATCATTGCTGGTGGTAGCGGAGTGGTTGGTCCAAGTCGGAGCAGCACACTTGGGATTGTTCTGTGTGGCGGGTGAATTGCGCCATCTCCATTCTCCTTGATAGCAACCTAATTAAATGTGCCTTTACCGATGGTGCCATATGGATATGATATGCCGACATAATAAGGGTGCCGGGAGGCCCCTACCTAAAGACTATTCTTGGAATTCTTGACGCACTCCTGTCTAGCCCTGGCCCTAGCTATGCAAACCACTTGGGAGAGCCAAAAATGCTGAATGGAGTACTGTATGCAAATGAACATTAAGCAGAATTGTGATTTATAGCTACAGTGTATGGAGAGGCTGATTCATCAACAGTCTACATAAGGCATCTGAAACAAACCAATTGGTCCCAACACCGTAACACCCAGGTCCCAGTTACTCGATCTGATCCTCGTCGACCTTCTCTGCGCTCATGGTTTCAGCCTGCACACCGGCGAGCCGGCCGCGGCACTCGAAATCACGGCAGTCAGAACGCCACAACTTCGAAGGGGACGGGGGAAGGTTTTCTTTCCATAGGCCTGGGCCAGCCTTGGTTCTTCACTTGGAAAAAATCCCCTCTATTCATCCACCATCCGTAATATGGCCCCTCTATTTTATCGACCGTCCACCGTCTTCTCACCCACGACCGACTAAACGTGTCACCCAACCCGTCATCGGCCGCGCCTTTAAGACCTTCACGGTTTCTTGGGCGTCCCGCGCCGTGCGCACCATATCCGATTTGATCTCAGCGAAGGGCACTGCTATTCGACAAGCCGAGCGAGCAAGCGAGCTCTGCAGGTGTTCAAGAAGGTGACCGAACAAAAGTGCGTAAGGAATGCAAAACTCAATGGAACCTAGCACAGCTAGTTGGAGATGTTTGATCAAGAGCAACATACATATCCCCAGAAGGTATCTTTGCATACATTCTTTTCCAAGCAGGATCATCTGCGAAAACTACTGCCTCTCAAAACCACACCTTTGCCAAACTGTCCACGTGGAAATCTGAGGCCACGCGCATGAAGAGCGGCTCGCACGTTGTCCACCTTGACTCGGCCATTCGTGGTGCCGCATGTACCGGTAGCCAAAAAAATGCGGAGATCCATGGGAGTGGAATGCAGAGATTCTACACCTATAAGTCCCCAAATAGATAGCGGTACGGTGTCCAACATTAATACATTCTTAGCGCAGATTTACCTTTATCCATCTATTTAGGATTCTTTAGGGGTCTAAGTCTCAATATGTGTCCCATGAGAGTTCCTGTCGGGGTGGTTTTTTGGGTGGTTTTTGTGGGGTGGAGTGGATGAGCTGGACAGGGAACCTGTCCACCAAAGCCAGGCACCCTTCCATCAAAAAAAGACCATGTTCCCCACCCCATCCTCCCCGAACATGGCACCTCGCATGTATATCCTCTCTGACTATCTCTTACTCCCCTCATCTCCTGAGGGGGCAATTCACCTGGCGTGCCCAAACAACTGGGCAGATTGAAGAATCCTAGTTGATCCACCAAGTACATGGATTCTGTCTTCACGCGTCGCCGTGGGATCCACAAGAATCCCATCTATACAGGGTGGAACTGAATGTTCATTGAATTGATTGGGCCTTGTGATGCATGTTCTGGCAAATGTCGGCATCCATGAAAGGAACAAATATTCTGCAGCCCGCCACGTGTTGCCCATGCATGGAGTACTGTACCAAATGGAGAAACCCTCTCAGAGTCTTTCAATTTCTTCCACTGCATAGGCCAGACCTCAATAGGCCACTGGCATCTGGCCTTGTTCGAGCCGAGACCGGGGTTCCAACCCTTGTGCAGCACCGGCGTCGCGGCTTCTTTTCATCGCCCCTCCCAGTCTCCCAGCTCCGCCTTCCTGCCACCCTCTGCCACCCAGGCGCCGGCGTGGTGTTCGACCAGTGGCTTTCTCGATCGGTGCGGCGCAGGTTGGACCAGCCAGACTGGGCGGGTCGGCCACGGTCTTCGGCCACTTAGCCAAGGCACACCACTATATATACCCTAGCCTTCCAACAACCATTCATTTAATATGCTTTACCGAATCCACTATGGATTTTACACTACAAAAACATACCCCTTTCTACAACGCGTGGGGGTTGAGAACGCCATTCTATAGTGATAATTTGGTTTACCAACCTCTGGTAGCAAAGTGCCCCACTATAGAATCTAGCTGTCAACCCTTGTAGTGTACGGCATAGTTTCTCTATAGAATAAAGGGGGTCAACCTTGAAGGCACTAATGTAACAGAATTGTAGACTCAAAATCTGAATTATCTAATTGAAACAGCCAGGGTTGGTTTTCATTCTATAGAGAAGTGGGGGAAACAGCCAGGGTCGGTCCTCATTCTATAGACAAGTCGGTGGACACTGCAAGGCTGAGTATACCAATTTCGAGGAAAATTAGGCAGCAATGGCAAGAGAGGTTGGTATTCTATTTTAAAGAAACATGATTGAACATTGCAAGGTTAGGATTTTATTTTATAACAAGATTAGGCAGCAATGGCAAGAGAGGTTGGTATGCCATTTTATAGAAACATGATTGAACATTGCAAGGTTAGGATTTCATTTTATAACAAGATTAGGCAGCAATGGCAAGAGAGGTTGGTATTCTATTTTATAGAAACATGATTGAACATTGCACGGTTGAATTTCATGTTATAACAAGATTGGCCAAGTACCTTTTTGGTGGGGAATGCCTCTGGGGAACATTCTAGAAACCACTGCCACTAGGAGAACTTCTTCCTTGGAATTGACAGAAACTGTTCAATGTGGCTTCTTGTGGTGGTCCACAGCACCCAGGACCACTATAAAATGAAAACCAAGCTCTTTTCAAGCCAGAGGTGGTAAATTACCTTTCAGGTGGGGAAAGACCCTGAGGAACATTCTAGAAACCAATGCCACTTGGAGAACTTCTTCCTTGGAATTGACAGAGACTGTTCAATGTGGCTTCTGGTAGTGGCCACCTGTGCCAGGCCCACAGCAACCAGGCAACTATAAAAGGAAAAATCAACCTTTTTTGGAGCCAGAGGTGGTCAAGCACCTTTCTGTGGGGAAAGCACCTGGGGAGCATGCCACTTGGAGAACTTCTTCCTTGGAATTGACAGAAACTGTTGAATGTGGCTTCTTGTGGTGGTCCACAGCACCCAGGACCACTATAAAATGCAAAACCAAGCTCTTTTCAAGCCAGAGGTGGTAATGTACCTTTCAGACGGGGAAAGACACTGGTGAACATTCTGGAAACCAATGCCACTTGGAGACCCCTGCCTTGGAATTGATGAAGCTATTCACAGGCCCACAGCACCCAGGCCACTATAAAATCAAAAACCAACCTCTTTTGGAGCCAGAGCTGGTCAAGCACCATTCTGGTGGGGAAAGCCCGTGAGGAACATTCTAGAAACCACTGCCACTTGGAGATGCAGAGGTGGCCAAGTACCTTTTTGGTGGGGAATGCCTCTGCAAAACATTCTAGGAACCACTGCCACTGGGAGAACTTCCTCCTTGGAATTGACAGGAACTGTTCAATGTGGCTTCTTGTGGTGGTCCACAGCACCCAGGACCACTATAAAAAACACAGCTCTTTTCAAGCCAGAGGTGGTAAAGTACCTTTCAGGCGGGGCAATACCCTGAGGAACATTCTGGAAACCAATGCCACTTGGAGACCCCTTCCTTGGAATTGATGAAACTATTCAAGGTGGCTTCTGGTAGTGGCCACCTGTGCCAGGCCCACAGCACCCAGGGCCACTATAAAATGAAAAGCCAACCTTTTTTGGAGCCAGAGCTGGTCAAGCACATTTCTGGTGGGGAAAGCCCCTGGGGAACATTCTAGAAACCACTGCCACTTGGAGATGCAGAGGTGGCCAAATACCTTTCAGGTGGGGAAACTTGGAGATGCAGAGGTTGCCAAATACCTTTCAGGTGGGGAAAGAATTTGGTGAACATTACTTGGAGACCCCTGCCTGGCTTCTGGTAGTGGCCACCTGTGCCAGGCCCACAGCACCCAGGCCACTATAAAATGAAAA